CACGGTTCTCCTCGAGCGCGCATCATCCTGAATAAAAGCCTCATGCCCTCCCTCCCGCCTGCCGATGATGCAACGCGGTCTCTGGGGCTGATGGTAGTAAAAGACACTGGGGGCAGGGGGGTGTTAGCACTGCGCAGAATGTTTAAAAATGCTTTGAGTGCAGAATCCCACTAATTCCTATTTCAAGGGTGAAATGAGCCATTCCAAATATGTGAGGCATTTGGGGCTTGCAACAGACCCACTCTATTTTGAGTGCAAGCACTTCCAAAATGCCCCCAAATCGCCTGTTTCCTGTTTGCCATCTAGGCTGCAGACAGTATCTGATCCAGGCTCCTCTACCAGCCTTGTGGCTGTGTAGACATGCTTCAGATCACACTGGAGAGGCTATACTTTGGTGGGGGACGGGGGTCCTAGTCCACCATTGAGAAATTATCCCAAGTCCCAGGGTCGGACAGGTGCAAGCCCTGATCATGGGAGGAATTCAGATGCAGGATTCTCGGACCAGGCTGGAATATGTCACCCCTTTCCTGAATGTGTGGGTCCCCCAGCCAGTCATTCTTCCTGTTAGGACATGCTTCCTTACGCTCAGTGGAAATCTGCCTTCCTGCAACTTAAATCCATTATTTTATGCCCTGCACTCTGGAATGATGGGCATCCTGACTCCTCTGAAGTGGGGTGACTTGAAGGGGGCGATCAGTGTTGACTTTTTTGAAGACTAAGCCTTTCCCCTTTCTTTAGTCTCTCTCTGGCTTGGTTTCCAGACCCCTGATCATCCTTTATCCTTCTCTTTAACCTGCTCCAGTTTCTCTGGATCCTAAAGTGTGTTGTCCAGAATGGAGCAGATCACATAAAGCAGAATAAACTTGGGAAACTACAAATGTTAGAAAATAAATTGCTCCTGTTGATTCAGCCTAAAATTGCATGTGACCTTTTTCAGCCAGTTCACACTGCAGGCTCAGATTCTAAATACTTCCTTGAGCTGAAGGTGGATATTAGTTATCCCACCCAATTTTGTGTCATCTATACATTTGATAAGCACTTTTTCCACTTCTTCATCAAAATGATTAATAAACATTTTGAAAAAGAAAGGGCCCAGGACTGATCCTTTGGGCACTCTGCTAAAAACATTTTCCCAATTAGATGAGAAGCCATTGATGAGCACTCTTGGTAAATTATTTTTTAGCCGGCTATGTCCTCACTTACCATGCCATCCAACCCATATTTTACTAATCGGCAGATCATGGGGTACTTTGTGAAATGCTGTGCTGAAGTCAAGATATATTAAGTCTACAGCATTTCCCCAATCAAAGAGGTATCTCATTAAAAAATATAGCGTTAGTTATATAACGCTAATCTGGTAAGATATGTTCTTGATGTGCCAAAATTGACGTGGCAATTACTACATTATTTTCAAGATGCTTATAGGTAAGTTTCTTTATGAACTTTCCCCAGGTTTCAGCGCCAGACAGTCCTGTAGCTTCTGGGCTCTTCCCGACACCCCCCCCCGCCGGCTTTGATTTGTTTGAATATAGTTTATTGAACAAACCATAATTATCTGGATTCTCACAACACGAAAAAGCCACAGGATGTTTTTGGATGTTTCTGATATGGTTCAGTGTGTGAACCAGGCTGCTGTGTTTCAGATCTGCTGAGAGATGCTCCCAGTGCTCAGTCCCAGTTCAGCCCTGTTCCTTCCATGCCGCCATCCTCTGGGCACAGTTTGAATCTGGACAGCAGGTGCAAAAGAGGCAGTGGAGGAGGCACTAAGTCTTTCAGCCTCTGCCCACCTTGAATTGATGGAGTCCCCCAAACAGGCTCAGCAGGAGTTATCTTATTTGCTCTTATTATTTGCCTCATATTTCTGTACTTCCTGCAAAGTGGCTTTTTGAGCCCCCCACGGTTTTCAAAACTGTCAATTGAATGTCCCATCCACAACATTCGTGCTTCATCATTGGAGCCTCATGAGCTGATTTCAGATGGTTGGGCAGGGTGGAAGAGGGCATCTTCCAGCGGCTCTGCAGGGCCTTTGCTGCTTGGGGGGCAAATGTTAGGCAAGCTTTGCAGGGACATTTCCTCTGAGTGGCTGGCCTGGCAGAGAGGTGCAAGCACTGTGTTTGCATCACCCAGAAGCCAGGCTTTGATGAATTGACCAAATTGCCTGGGATTGTAGAACCCATTGGACTACGCTAACAAGGGGTTGGGTGGTTTCTGGCTCACGGTGTTGTAGGAGTGCAGCTGCTCTCTCCGTAGGTTGCGTGAAGTTGGCCATCAAAAATAGGGTTTGTTTGGGATAGCACGTTCCATCAACACAAATGCAGAGTTAGCCCAGGTATTTGTGTGTCATGTGCAGCAGAAGCTTCAGTGACAAAGTGTTGATGCCTCTGTATGTTTCAGCAAAGCAGGCTTGCATGTGTGAATTTATCAGCAAGGTGAGGGAATTTGACTCTCCTGATGAGATTATTGGGGGGG